TTCTTATTAGGGCAGAATTCCGTTTACTGTGGTTTTCACTCTTGTCCCTTCCCTTCCCAGATCCCCACTGCTACCAGCAGGCCAAACCACAGCATCTTCTGCCTGGATTGCTGCAACCATCTCCTACCTGGTCTCTCAGATCACCCTTGTCCTCTTCCCACCTGTTTTCACACACGGTATCCAAAGCGGTTATTCCAAGGTTCAGATCCAATCATGAGACTCCTTCACCTAAAGCTCATCACTGCCCGTTTTATTTTTTTTTATTTTTTAAAAATATATTTTATTGATTTTTCACAGAGAGGAAGAGAGAGGGATAGAGAGTTAGAAACATCGATGAGAGAGAATCATCGATCAGCTGCCTCTTGCACACCCCCTACTAGGGATGTGCTCACAACTAAGGTACATGCCCTTGCCCGGAATCGAACCCGGGACCTTTCAGTCCTCAGACCAACGCTCTATCCACTAAGCCAAACCCCCGGTCCCGGCATCACTGCCCATTTTAGTTCCTTACAATCCATGGCTTACAAGGCCCTGCATGACCTAGCAGCTGCCTACTTCTTCCAAGTCCTCTAAAGGGTCAGCTTCCTTTCTGACTCAGCCTCTCACCCCCTGCCTGGCTCAGGCTTTCCCGCCCCCAATGCCCACCCCTCCATCTGGCTTCAACTCAGCCTTTAGGACTCAGCTCCCAGGTACCACACTTCCTCAGAGAGGCCTTCCTAGATGTGCTAATCTAAACAAAGTCTCCTTTATCTTACACTCACCTAACATTTATCCAATACTTATAACACTCTCATAAGACTTATCACACTACGTTTGTAGTTGGGAATTTTTCTGTGTTTTATGTCTCACTGTATGCTAGATCTTGGCTCCAAGAGGCCGGGCCCTGTCCCATTCCTCACGGTATACACACAGTGCTGCCCTAGAACAATGCCAGCTACACGGTAGGCACTGCTTCCATAGTAGCTTCATTAACGAATGCATGGATGACGGAATGACGGATGACTATCTCGGCAGGGGTGTGAATGCTCCTGTTCATTGATGGCCTGGGCTGCTGTGGAAGTAAGTGTGTTTGTCAAGGGTTGTGAGCTGCAGCGCAAACGCAGGGAATGAGGAATTAGAACACTGGGTTGTCGTCCCAGTTGCCCTTTGTATGGGCCGTATGGCCTTAAACAAGCTTGGGAGGTAGGAACCATGGCTTACTCATCTTTGTGTCCAAAACACTTGGCACAAGTAGAAGTTCGGCAAGTAAAATCACTCCGGACTCTTTCCTCTTCTCAATTCCTCCAAACCCACTTTCAACGGGACTTTTACAACTCAAACCGCAACTCGAGTTGGGGTATCTACAGAGAGAGCAAAAGTCTGTGTAGACCTTAACAATGCTCACGTGAAGAAGTGAGCTGCCTGCAGCACAAGCCAGTGCCCGCTCTGGGCAAGCCAGGCCAAGACGCCCACACAGATGCCCAGCTCTGGGGCCTGGTTAGAGCCTCACAGAAACCTTTGGTATTTCAACCTCTCCGAAGAGCCGGTAACTTGTCAGGTCGAGTCCTCAGCGCTGTGCTGGGGGACGGGGGATACAGGAATGACCAAGTATCTGCTTTCCATGAATCCAGCTTAGTAGGAAGGAAGAGGAACAGCAGAGGCAAAAGGCTGGAGCTAGGAAGAGAGACAGCCTACAGCGTCTTCAGTCCTGGTCTGCGGGGAAGCGGCTCTAAGAGCTACATCGTGTGCCTGTCTGGAATGGTCAGTAGTTCTATGAAACCAGACGACACAGTGGCAAGCCGCTGGTTTGAGCACATAAAAGGCTAACTGCCCTCTGGGGAGGGAGGGCAGCTATGGGAGGGGGGGAGCAATGGTATATGTACAAATATAATTATTTAAACAAACAAACAAACAAACAAACAAAATAAAATAAAATAAAAGGCTAACTGTCTCTTGGCCTCTCCTGGCAACGAAGGCAGATATGGATCGCCTGCCAGACACTGTCCGCACAGCCTCTGCCTCCGGAGCTGTGCCCAGAAACCAAGGGTGTGGAGGAGATTGCCGGCCAAGGAACCGTGAAGCACCGTGTCAGCCAGAGCGGGGCCTCTGACGGATGGCAGGGCTGGCATTCAGTCCGTGCACAAGATAAGCCACCTTCTGAATACACCACGCTGGCCCTCGCAACCCCACAGGCAGGACGGGGTTTGTTGGCAGAGATGCAAGGAGTCTTGGATGAAAGGAAATGCCTCTGAGCCAACAGAGGTGCCCATTTGGTTCCTGGCTCCATCACCCGCCTCACCCCCAATCTCCCGACTCTAGAACGGGGTGGTTCCTGTCTCAAATGAGATTTCAGGGCTCTTCCGTTTTGCACCAAATACTACCTCGTTTTATCCCCTCCACGAGCCAGCGAAACAGCCGCTTCCCATGTGACTCATCTTGCCAATGCAAACACTGAACCGAAGGGACTTTTTCTCATGTTCTCTGGGCTGCGAAGTGGCAACCTGACGTGGGGTCTTCTGATTTGAAAAACCTGCTCCTCACTGTCCATTTTGCTGAACAATTGCCCTAAATTGGATTGATTTTCCTGTCAGGACCTCTTGTTCAGAAACTCCCTCCTTTTGGGTGTCCCCGAGACCAGTGAGAGTCTCTGGAGGGAGGGAGTGGATGGAGATGGCCTGTGGAGGGGTTTGGTTCCCTTGGAGGCAAGTTGGGTAGGTCTCTCGCAGACCAGCAAACAGATTGGAGGTCCTCTGATTGGGAGAGGGAGAGCAGAGACCCTTCCCTCTGGGGCCCTCTTGATCAGGGACGTCCCCCGTCCTGCACTGGCTACAGTTTCATCACGTCCCTGTGGCCCCACAGGGTGGTGGCCCCTCGGTTACAGGCCACTGAGAGCCTGACACTGAGGCTTCTTTTGATCCTTTTTTTTTTTTTTTTTTTTTTTTTTTTTTTTACTGCAGGGCATGGAATCAGGGTTGCCAGGCTTCTTTCTGAGTCATTCCTGCCAGGAGCCACCAGGAGCCACCGAGTTCCTGTTGGCCCCCTGCCCAGCCCACCTTTTTCACCTCTTTCCTCCTTCACATTCAAGAGCCAGAGCTTTTCCTTAAGGAAGCCCTCGTCACTGTGACGCTTTGTGGTTCCTCCCTCCTGCCTGTGCAGAGGCTCTGCTGCCTGCTCCCGGGCTGGCTGGACGAGGGTGTTGGCAGCAAAGCAAGTGCAGAAACAGACCCTCGTTTCAAATACAGGCAGGTCACCCGTGAGCCTCCTCAGGCATCCAAGGGCACGGCACCAACCAGTTTCCACTCTCCCAGACGCTCCCACCAGAAGACGTGGGGGCTAACTCCCCATTCTGCGGAGACTGCTTTCTCCTCCCAGGTCCTCCTGAGGCTCAAGCAGGTGCTTGTGATGCCATCTCCCATCCCACGGCCACCACCTCTCCTGGCCCTTCTTCATTCTGTCCCCTCAGTAAAGCACAGGACTCAGGGCTCCAGGGCACCCCTGCCCTTCTCCAGGGCTTCACAGGGGCTCCCTGTCACCTTCCTGGTCCTTCCACCCCTCACAGCCCATCGCTCCCCACCTTGCTTTCCCAGTCCACTCCACCCCAGTTCTCGCCCCGTTAGGCTCCTCTCCGTGGACTTCCTGGCTCGTCCTGAGCTTGAGGACGCTAACTCAGGGCCACGTACGGAGCTGGTACCAAACACTTTTTGACCTGACTTTCAATCACGGAAAATCAAAAGTTAGGAGCTTTGGAATCTGGAGGCCATGCCATTCACCACCCCACTTTTCATACAGAGGAGCTGAGACCTGGAGAGAGACATAATAGGACCTAGTCACAGGGACCAGGTCAGTTAGTGGCGAAGCCAAGTCTGGGCCCCCAAGTGCCTAACTCCAAGCCAACTTCTCCCCATCGCCCATGGTCACGACTCCCACGACATGCCTTTTTCGCATCCCTCTGTTTTACTCCCAGAACAAGACCCGGGACAAGCCAAGTGGCCTGGCTCTGAAGGTTCCTTCCTGTGTGATGAGTTGGAGAAGGGAGCCTTGGTGGGGGAGGGCTCTGGAGTTTGTGGTTATTTCATTTGCCTTTAGACATTTCGAAGAAGGCAGACTATTCCCTTCACCAGCACTGTGTCTCTTATTTTCTGTGAGAGAGCCTGTTCCCTCCAACCCACTACCCACGAAAGGACTCCTTGGTGAGAGCCTCCCCAGGCTTGTTGAGCAGGGGAAGGAGCGGCAATCCTCTCTTTGGTGTGGTTCCTGGCCCCTCACAATCTCCTGGGCTCCAGGTTCTCTCAGAAGACTCAGACATCCAGAAATACAGAATAAAACCCGGTCCTAGGGCTAGGGGGTGAGGAGAGGTCAGGGGAACGTCATCAACAAGCCTTGCTTCCATCCAACTCCAGCTCCATATACAGAGGGGCTGTAGGAGACCAGGGCCAGCACCCGGGCTAAAAGCCGACCCCTAAGGACATTAGCCCAAGAAGAAGCTTTGAAAGCCAAGGTCAGAGGCAAAAGGCTAACTGCCCTCAGGTCAGCTGCCCTCTCGTGCCTGCTTATTTCTCCCACCAGCCTGCTTCTGCCTTTCAGTTCTGCCCATCTCCTCTGATTTCTCTCCCCTCTGTGTGTCTGTTTTGATTCATCTGCTTCTCATCTGTCTTTTCATCTGTCTCTGCATAATTACAGAAATGTTTATTCTGATTCTGTGAGTTCATTGTTGTTGTTGTTGTTGTTTTCTGTCAGTCTCTCTCTTCAACTCATCTTTCTATAGTTCTGCCTACCTGTCCTTTTCTCTTCACAAAATAAGTGCCAGTTCTCCCAGTGGGTTTCCCCAAACCAGGAGACTCCTGACCTCTCTGTGTGTCTATCTTTTCTTTTCTCTGTCTCTCTAGCCTTTTCTTCTCTCTGTGCCTATCTTCTCTGTTCTCTCCTCTCTAGCATTACACCTCTTCCCCACCCTATGACATGCCCTGGCCTCCCTGGTGATCCCTCAGACCCCAGAGTGCTGCCCCGGGTGCATCACTTACCCAGAACCACTGGCCAAAGGAGGCAGGAACATAAGCAGCTCAGGAATACCCAGGGGACCCTCCTCCGATGAGTCCCCCTCATGGCTCCAGAAAAAGTCCTTCAGGCTCCCCGGGGACTGAGCGTGGAGCAAGGCTGGTGAACCTGTCCCCACTGGCTGCTGGCCTGAAACAGGTGTATTTCCCGGAGGGGCCAGAGTACCAGGAGAAGAGGACAAAAGAAGGTGGGGCCCCACGCCAATCATCCTTGCCCTGTCTTTTCTTTCCTCAATCTCCGCCCCCTTCCCACACGAGGGGAAAAAAAAAAAAAAATCACCCTATACAGTCATTGCTCTGCTCCTCGTCAGCCTGAGCCAAGTAGGAGGAGGGATGGGAGGGGATGTGAGGGAATAGAAACCAGGGAACCCTGGAAATGAATGGGCCACCCTCTGGCCCAAGACTCTGGCCCTCTACTGCCTCCCCAGGGGCTGTCCCTGTACTACTGGAGCTGTGGACTGCTGGAGCTGTGGACTGCTGCAGTGGAAGGCAGCTGGGTCATCCCGGGAGAAGGCAGGGGAGAATGAGAAAGAAAGGGACCAAGCAGGGGTGACTTCAGGACTGTGTGAGTAAAAGAAAGAGTGAGATTTGAACAAAACAACAAGAAAGCCCTCAGCATGGGAGAACATATTTGCCAAGGTTATCTCTGATAAGGGTTTAATCTCCAATATTTACAGGGAACTTATACAACTTAACAAAACAAGATAAACAACCCAATCAAACAATGGGCAACTGACCTAAATAATACTTTTCAAAAGAAGAAAGAAGGAAGGCCAAGAGGCATATGAAAACATGCTCAAAGTCACTAAGCATCGGAGAGATGCAAATCAAAATGAAAATGAGGTACCATCTCACACCTGTCAGAGTGGCTATCATCACCAAATCAACAAACGACAAGTGCTGACAAGGATGCAGAGAAAAAGGAACCCTTGTGCACTGCTGGCGGGAATGCAGACTGGTGCAGCCACTGTGGAAAACAGTATGGAGTTTTCTCAAAAAACTAAAAATGTAACTCCCATTTAACCCAGTGATCCCACTTTTAGGAATATATCCCAAGAAACTAGAAACACGAATCAGAAAGAATATATGCAACCCTATGTTCATAGCAGCACAATTTACCATAGCTAAGATTTGGAAACAGCCTAAAGGCCCATCAGCAGATGAGTGGATAAAAAACTGTGGTAAATCTACACAATGGAATACTATGCTGCAGTAAAAAAGGAGTTCTTACCATTTGCAACAGCATGGATGGAACTGGAGAGCATTATGCTAAGCGAAATAAGCCAGTCAGAGAAAGATAAATATCACATGATCTCACTCATTTATGGAATATAATGAACCACATAAACTGATGGACAAAAATAGATCCAGAGACAGAGAAACATAGATCAGGACATTAAACCTCAGAGGGAAGGTAGGGGAGGATGGGGATAAGGGAAGAGATCAACCAAAGGACTTACATGCATGCATATAAGCCTAACCAATGGATACAGACAACAGGGGGTTGAGGGCAGGAGTGGGGGTTTGAGGGCAGTGGGGGAATAAGGACACATATGTAACACCGTAGTCAATAAAGAAATTAAAAATAAAAAGAGTGAGACTTGAGGAGACCCTAAGGAGCATACGGAGTGGGGGAACAAGGTGAGGTGAGAGGTAGGAATCAGAAATACCCTGTATGAGACTTTGGGGAAGGAGCGTTGGGTTCAGAATATCTGCTCAGTGCCAGGCACATGGTAGGCCCTGGCCAGATGGTGGATTTGTTGAGATAACAAGAGTCAGGGTCTGGGAAAGTAGCTTGAGGCTTCTGGGATGGGTAGTGGGGTGGAGGGTAGAACTGAGGAGAAGGAATTGTGACCCCATAAGGAAGTGAAGGTGCTAATGGAGATGTTGAAGCTCAGGTCATCTCATTTTGACCTTTTGGGATTCACAGGCCCCCAGAAGGGAGAGGAACCCCGGACAGGGTGTGCCAAACCAAGTTCTGGGGGTGGGAGAAGGCAGGTGGCGTAGCTCTGAAAAGGAAAGCAACGGAGGCCTTCCCCCACGCTTTGCCCTGTGAGAAGTCTGGCTCCTCCGGACGTGATTCTGAGCGTGGGGTCTGTGAGTGAGTGGTCCCGGAGCAGGGAGCCCAGGCTCTCAGACACCACACAGACCAGGAAGAGGAATCAATGTTTCCATATTCCCGACAAGACTGGCTGTGCCCAAGGAGAGGGAGATGCCTGGCACTGTGGTGCCGACTCAAAGGACCCATGAAGGCCCCACCCTGTTGGCTACTTGCTTTCTGAAGCCAGAAGTCCAATGATAGGCCGGACCTTCCAGCTACAGCGCAGATACTACAGAGAAGGAGCATGGTGTCCCCCTCCTCCCCCTATCAGTCCTCTGCCTCTGCTTGGATGAGTTGCTCTTTTCTTTCCTGGGAGCAGGAAACTCATAAGGTTAAGAGGGACTTTAGGCACCTGGACAACAGAGGAGGATATCACTGAGGAGAACTTTAGACACGCCAAGGCCCAACTTGGCCTTCTTAATCTTTTTTTTTTGTTGTCAGTTCTTGCTCACGAGTTCTCCCTATGAAGTTGCTGTGTGTTTTGCTTGGTGGCACTCTCTGGACTAGAGTTTCCCATCTACAGGAGAGGAGGATGAAGGCATTTCAGGTGAGACCAAAGTAAGAGCTGGACATCTTGCTGACCCAGCACAGACAACCTCCCACTTTTCAATACCAGGAAGGCCAGAGAGTCAGAGCGTTCTCCAGAGGCTATTGTGGTGGCTAAGACTCCAACCCAGGGTACATGGGCTCTATCACCCAAGGCAAGTCACAACTTCTTTTTTAAAAAAAATATATTTGTATTGATTTCAAAAAGAAGGGAAAGGGAGGGAAAGCTAGAAACATCAATGATGAGCGAGAATCATTGGTTGGCTGTCTCCTTGCATGCCCCACACCGGGGATTGAACCCACAACTCAAGCATGTTCCCCATCCAGGACTTGAATTATGACCTCCTGGTTTATAGGTCAACACTCAACCACTGAGCCACACCAGCCAGGCAAATCACAGCCTTTTTGAGACTTGTTTTCCTTATTTATAAAATGGGGGTAATATGTCAAACAAAAGCCAGTGCTGGACAGTCGCCGATGTGGTAAAAACTATTCAGGACTACTATCATGGGGAAATTATATTCAGGACTATTGCAGTGGGAGAAAGGGGACCTCGTATAGAACCGGGCTCTACTCCGAATACAGCATGGGCAAGCCGGCATTTACGGCCAAGGAGCACGGTAGGGGCCAGGGAATAAAAAGTTACTAAGAGGAAGCATCCGAGGGAGGGGGATTCTGGCTAAACCACCCTAACAGGATTTTTTTGCTAATGACAGGTCAGAGTGCTCAGACACTGTCTGGGGTGTGGGGGAGGATGAGGAACCTGATCAGATGTCGTGGGTGATCAATTATTGAGGAGAGGACACTCCTGTTAAACTGACTTGGCAGGGTTCTTGCTGAAACTGGATTTTACAAATAAGTGCACAGATGGGCTTCAGAGAAGGTGCTGGAGTCTGTCTAAAGTGTGGTCAAGCAAAGAGTCTGTGTCAAATAGCACCTACCCAAAAGGTTGTGAGACTGGACAGAGCTCATAGATGGTAAAGTGCTAAGTGATAAAATGTTAAGGCACATGTAGAGGGCACCTGGCTCCTCATTTCTTCCTGATGGTAGAAACCAACGAGGGAAGCCAGGAAGCAGCAGGAGGCGGAGTCTGGAAAAGAATGTCCTGACCCTTCTGCATACCAAGGTCTTTCCTGTGTCCCCTTTGGTTTTATAACATTGGCATGTGCAAATCTAATTCAGCTTCTCCTACCTTCGGCCCCTCCATTTCCCTTCTTAGAGCCCCACCTCTTTCTTTTTAACTGAATGTAACACAGCAGTGTTTTTAAATATTATATATAAATATATATATATATATATATAATTAAAAAATATATATATACATATATATGTTTTTTATTTATTTATTTATTTATTTTACAGAGAGGGAGGGAGAGGGAGAATTAGAAACATCGATGAGAGAGGAACATCAATCAGCTGCCTCCTGCACACCTCCTACACCTCCACAACCAAGGTACATGCCCTTGACTGGAATCGAACCTGGGACCCTTGAGTCTACAGGCCAATGCTCTATCCACTGAGCCAAACCGGTCAGGGCTTAAATATATTTTTATTGGTTTCTGAGAGGAAGGGAGGAGAGAGAGAAAAACATCAATGATAAGAGATCAACCAAAGGACTTGTATACATGCATATAAGTACAACCAATGGACACAAAACTCTGGGAGGGAGGGTATGTATGGGAGGGGGGACAATGTTAAAATATGTACACAGATAATAATTTAATTTTAAAAAAGAGAGAGGAAGAGAGAGAGAGAGAGAATCATTGATTGGCTGTCTCCTGCACACTGCCTACTGGGGATCTAGCCCAAAACCTGGGCATGTGCCCTCAACCAGATTCAAACGTGGGATCCTTCAGTCCATCAGCCAACACTCTAGCCATTGAGCCAAAGCAGCTAGGGCCTTAGTTTCCCTTTGAGCCCAGCTTGGTCTCAACTGGCAAATTTTCCAGAGTTCAGATGCTTTTAGGTCTCTGAGTTGAATGCCTCTCTCTTTATCTATTTGTTCTTCCTTCTCCCCTCCCAATGCAAATGATGGAGACAGAGAAGAGAGAGGAAGAGGGAAGGAAACAAGGAGAGTCTCTGAGTTCCATCTGGGGGAGACCTCCTAGGGCTGCAGCTAACTTGGTTCACCCAGGTTTAAATTGATATTCCTTAGGTTGGGGGCAAGAGAACTCAGTCTAGACTTGGGGTATAAATAAATTAGAGCAAGGATAAGATTGTAACTTTTGCCGAAACCGGTTTGGCTCAATAGATAGAGCGTGGGCCTGCGGACTGAAAGGTCCCAGGTTCGATTCCGGTCAAGAGCATGTACATTGGTTGCGGGCACATCCCTTAGTAGGGGGTGTCCAGGAGGCAGCTGGTCGATGTTTCTCTCTCATCGATGTTTCTAACTCTCTATCCCT